ACCCGGCAGAGGCAGTTGGTCACTGGCCGTTGGCCAGACACTCACAGCAGCTCATAGCAGCTCTCGTCAGCTGCTGGCCACTCACGCTGGCTGCCGCCCACTTATGCTTGCTACCGGCCACTAACGGGCATCTCACGGTAGCTCACGGCAGCCTGTGGTAGCCCAAAGCAGCCCATTGTTCACAATCTTAGCTGTAGAGGGCGCAGCTTACTAAGTTCAATTCCTTGAATCGAACTGGCAGCCCTGTTGTTCAGAGCTGTGCTCTTACCAGCTGAGCTATCTGGTCGCCCCTCCCCTTCTTCTTTTCCCCTCCTCTTCCTCCCCCTCCTCCTCTTCCTCCTCCTCCTTCCCCTCCTCCTCCTCCTCATTTCTTCTTCTCCTTTTTCTTCAAGTATTCCTTTTAACATTTCTTACAATACTTATTTGGTGGTAATTAAGTCCTTTGGCTTTTCCTTGTCTAGGAAGCTTTTTGTGTCTCCTTTGATTCTAAATGATAGTTTTGTTGGGTAGAGTATCTTGGTTGTAGGGTCTTGCTTTTCATCACTTGGAATATTTTGTGCCAATCCCTTCTGGTCTGCAAAGTTTCTGTTGAGAAGTCAGCTGACAGTCTTATGAGAGCTATCTTATAAGTTACTACTTGCCTTTCTCTTGCTGCTTTTAGGATTCTCTCTTTGTCTTTAACATTTGGCATTTTAATTATGATGTGCCTTGGTGCAGGCCTCTTTGGGTTCATCTTGTTTTGGGACTCCCTGCACTTCCTGGATTTGTATGTATACTTCCTTTGCCAGGTTAGGGAAGTTTTCAGTCATTTCTTTAAATAGTTTTTCAATCCCTTGCCTTCTCTTTTTTCCTTCTGATACCCCTTTGATGCATATGCTGTTATCTTTGATGTTGTCCCAGAGGTCTCTTAAACTATCTTCATTTTTCTTTTTAATTCTTTTTTCTTTCTGCTGTTTAGACTGGGTGTTTTCTACTACTTTGTCTTCCAAATTTTGGCTCAATCCTCTGCTTCATCTAAACTGCTGCTGATTCCATATAATGTATTCTTCATTTTAGTTATTATAGTCTTCATTTCTGACTGATTCTTTTTTATGGCTTCTATCTCTGCATAAGTTTTCACTGAGTCATCTAGTCTTCCCCCAAGTTCACTGAGCTTCCTTACAACCAGTATTTTGAACTCTGTATCTGGTAGATTGCTGACCTCCATTTTGTTTAGTTCTTTTTCTGGAGTTTTGTCCTGTTCTTTTATTTGGGACATGTTTCTCTGTCTCCTCATTTTGGCTGCTACCCTGTGTTTGTTTCTATATACTAGGTAAATCTGCTATAGCTCCCCGTCTTGGCAGAAGGGCCTTATGTAGTAGGTGTCCCATGGGGTCCAGTGGTGCAGTCTCCCTTGTCACCTGTGTTGGGTGCTCCAGGCTGTTACTTGTGTGGGTTCTGTGTGCCTTCTTCTTGTAGTTGAGTCTTGATTGCTGTTAGCATGTCAGTGGGTGGGAATTGACTATCAGGCTGACTGGCTTTGAGGACTGTGACTATAGTAGATGAGCTGTTTTGTGAATACTGATCCCACAAAGTGGGATTCGCTGTTGTGGGGCACTGGTGCCTGCTGAGTCCACTCTTAAGTATCATTTGTGGCATTAATTGGGTGGTGCTCTGGTGTGGTCTGAAGCCAGGCACTGGGTGTGTCAGTTCTGCAGCTTCTTGGGAGGGGCTCCAGTGCAGGCCCAGGATAGCTGCTGCCTGTGCCCATCCCAGGGCCAACTGATAAGAGCTACAAAGTGACCTTTAGTTGGTAGCTGCCTGTGGCTTGGAGGTTCCTGGGAGAGCTATGCTGTGAACCCAGGTTGGCTGCCACTAGTGTTAGGCTGTGGGCCATCTAGCAAATGATACAGTGATTGCCAAGGCCAGCTGCTGATTATTTGGGTTTGTGGAACTTTCAGAGATTTTAGGGACATCCAAAGTGTGGGCTGAGGCCAGCTGCTTGTGAGGAGAAGCTGCTGAAATGGGTTTCAGCCTGTGTGTGAGTTGAGTGAGTGCGGGTTCTCAGGGAATCACCAGGGTGGGCGAGTTAAATAGAGACTCCTGGGTGTGCAGGCTGGGTGAAGGGAGAGCTCAGCAAAGGGAAAGTGGAAACCCCCTGCCAGTTTTACAGGGGGAGGGCACAGCAAAGGAACAATGGTACCAGCCAGAATTTTTTTTTTAAGATTTTTTTTGGGAATTGGGGGAGGGGAACAGCATTGGGGAATTGAGGGAAGGGGAACAGAAAAGTTGCTGTCCTTTTGTTCTTCAGTCTAGTTGTGGAGGACATCACTTCACTGGCCCACGTTGATGTTATCATTATGCTCTTCCCAGGTGAGGTAGATTGTTCACCGGCCTCTGGATGGCCACTCACAGCAACTCACACCAGCTGCTGGCCATTCACACTGGCTGCCTACTACACATGGTAGCTTATGGCAGCCCACTGCAGCAGTGGCTGCAGGCTATGCTGTTGCCAGTGACTCATGACAGCCCAGCTCCAGGTCAAGCTGCTGTTCATCATCTTGGCCCTTATGTGGGATCCAAACCAGGGCCCTGCTGCTCAGAGCTGGCTCTTAACAAACATGCCACTCAGCTGGCCCCTGCCAGCACTTTTTGTACTGGAGAGAGTTGCCCTTCTAGCCCTTGCCCTGAAGCCAAACAATGCAGTTCCTCATGTATGTCCCTGGTACTTGTGAGCTGCCGTCCCAGCACTGGAGCTCAGAGCGAGTGAGTCCATCAGTGAGTAAAGCCAGTGTGTCAGTGTGTGGGCCCTTTAAGAGGAATGCCTGAAACCCCAGCAGCCCTCTGTTTCACCTGGACAAATCCCTGCTGATTTTCACAGCCAGATATAGTGGGGACTCCTCATCCTGGCACTAGTGATCCAGGCTGGGTCCCCTTGCTCCTCAGGGGGGAACCTCTGCAGCTGAGATTTTCCTCCCTTAACTCCCACACTTGGGTGTGAGGCCAGACTGTTTTGCACCTCTGCCCCCCCCCCACTCCCTCCCCCCAGTCTTGACATGGTTTCTTCTTTATATCCTTAGTTATAGGAGTTCTGTTTAGGTAGTCTTCAGGTGGTTCTCAAGGTTGGTTGTTCTATAATTTAGTTGTATTTTTGATGTGGTCATGGGAGGAAGTGAGTACAGCATTTACTTACTCTGCCATTTTACCAGAAGCCCCTGCCATTCTACTTTGTGTCTCTATGAATTTGACTCCTTTAGGTACCTCATTTGAGTGGCATCATACACTGTTTGTTCTTTTGTAATGGGTTAATTTCACTTAGCATAATGTCCTTCATTTTCATCCATGTTGTAGCATGTGTCAGAATGTCCTTCGTTTTTAAGGCTGAATAATATTCCATTGTATGTATTATATATATCATATTTTGTTTATGCATTCATCTATTGATGAATACTTGGATTACTTTCACCTTTTGGCTATTGTGAATCATATTCTATCAACATGAGTGTCCAAATATTTATTCAAGTTCTGCTTTCCATTCTTTTGGGTATATGCTTAGAAGTGGAATTGCTGAATCATATGGTAATCTATGTTTAATATTTTGAGGAACCACCATATTACTTTCCACAGTGGCTGCACTAGTTTACATTCCCACTAGCAATGCACAAAGATTCCAATTTCTCTAGGTCTTCGGAAATCTTAAACACATTTTTTTTTTCTCTAAATGGAATAATTATGCATTGAAGAAGATGGAAAAGCTAGATGACCTTTAAAACCCCACCTGTCTTGTCATCTGTGATGCAATAACTTCAAGCAATAACTTACTGAAGGGTTCTCTGCTTGACCAAGTGTTTACACTATTATTAATACGTGACTTTCTCTTAGAGACTAGATTACATGCCCAACTTTTTCTCTCAATGATTGTGGCAATATGCTGTTCAGTGAATATGTGCCCCCATGTTTTTCTGTTGACACAGCGCTAAGAGTGTAATATCCGAGGATAGAGAGAGTACTATATTTATTTGGTGTTGGTGTGTTGAAATGGGAACAAAGATTGAAGAGGCTTGTCTTGGGTTAGTTCTCCCAAAACACATCCTGGCATGAAGATTTGTGTATAAGTGATTTGCTAGGAGTTGCTCCCTGATGAAACCCTTAGGGCAGGGGTCGGCAAACTGCGGCTCGCGAGCCACATGTGGCTCTTTGGGTATGTTCTGTCTCAAAAATTTGCCGACCCCTGGAAGAGCCAATCCTGTCTCTCACAACAATTTAAAAATTATTTGAGAACCATAGATAGATTTTTACATAATCAATATGTGAATAATATACTTTAAAATTTTTATAAATGAAACTATGATAGTTTTATTTTCATTTTCAATTTTACTTCAGAGCCACGTACCCAAAGAGCCACATGTGGCTCACAAGCCGCAGTTTGCTGACCCCTGGCGGCTCTTATGTCTCAAAAGTTTGTCAACCCCTGCCTTAGGAGAATGGGGGAAGAGGGAAAGAGAAAGGAGGTACACCAAACAAGGGTGCAATATCTAAGGTGCGATATTGTGGAGCAATAACTTTCCACAGAGAATCACTTTGGCTCAGTCCTACAGGGGAACTCTAGAGGTAAGTTGGGGGGTTATGCTTCAGAGTTGTCTCAATCAGGGGCAAAGGGCTGGAGTATTTATCGGCTGTGGGTAAAGTATGATCAGGCATTTCCAGCTTTCCTGTGCATGTGGCAAATCAAGTTCTGATAGCCTGAGGCAACCCTCCAACAAAAAGACGTGGGTATTGGCTGTTGGGGTTGAAAGTGTGCTGAGCATGTGCATAACAATAGTGTAAGGATCCAAGGGGATACGGCTGCGCACAGACAGCTTCTGCCACAGCTATAAAAAAAAAGGCAACATGCATCCGGAGGATAAGAATAGATAGGCAGGGGTAAGGGTCGGGTGATTTTGTGTCAGCCATTTAATATAAATAACACGAAGAACAAAGTTTGTATCAAAACTTTATTCATTAAACAAAAAATGCACCATTGGAATAACATTTCTATAAAAAATGAATATGAGACTGTTCTACAGTGATTACAAAACCCCTTTTTCCTCGTGTAGTAGTATACAAGATCGTGTAGAAACAGTCATTGCTTTAAACTATAAGCAAGTTTCCTTTCTCATAGAACAAGATTTACACTTAAATATTGCAATCACTAGTCTAATTTGGTTAACAATGCTAGAGTCTGACAATTTTAAGAAATTCTTTGTAGGCTCAAAATACCTTTTATTGAAAAAAGGTGTTTTGTAGCAACAAAAATTTTCTTTCTCCACTAAGGCTAGTTAAAGCTGTAGTATACCCATTTCTAACGAATAAACCTACCACTAGCACACTAACAATTTGCTTGAATTGCAAAGCCCTTTGAGAGAATGAGTAGCATTGATCCATGAAATGCTATCAGAATATTTCAGGTTTGGTGTGGTCTCGTTTGAATGACCCTGGAAAGGGAGAAGGCGGTGATGTTGGAGCTTCAGTGGAGGCTTTGCCTGGCTGCTCTCCTCATGCTCAGCAGTGGACAATTCCTTTCCAAACTGGTCCCTCTGAGCTATGGAACACTGCAGCTTTAACAGCCGTATCTAGATTCCCAACCAGATCTCCCTTTTTATCATAAATTATCCAAAAAGAAGCCACTCTAAATAATAAATTAAATATTACTTATAAAAAGTACACCCCATCCCTACCCACCCAGCCCCCAAACAAGCTGACAACTCGCAAAGTTCAGAATTGTCAGGTTTTCCCTACAATAATAAAAAACAGCACTTTTCCTCCCCCCCCAACATTCCTTTCTTGCATCTGAAAATACACTTTCAGCACACAGTGAGATCCCTTGGCCCATGTGTCTGTGTTTTGGACATCTCATAGGGTTTTGCTGTTGCTCTCCAACCAATCAAAAATCACAGGATGACAATGCACAAAGGCTCTCTACTGAGAGCAGAAGAAATCCTTCGGGGAGTGCAACTCAAAGTCCGCGAAGTGAAAGTTATCCAAGAGCGGAAATGGAGAGCCCGGAAGTAACATTCATTTGTTGATATGGGCGTGGTATTTGGTCTCCCATATAACCTCACTGACCAGGAAATAGGCAGGCATTTCTTTTCAGAATCAGTACCTTTTGGAAGCAGGTATTTTGATAGCAAGTTACATTGAGGCCTAGGAGTGCATAGTTTTCAATGGAATGCAATATCATACAAAACACCTATCTGTGATTTTACAAAGTATCCAATTTAATTAAAACATTGGAATTGCTTTAAAAGCTTTTCTGTGCAGGCTATTAATTTGTGAATGTTACTAGACAAATATAAAGTATGAGTAAAATATTGCAGTGATTTAAAAAAGAGAGGGATTGTAAATTTGAGTGTATGACTGCTTCCGCAGGGCTAGAGTGTTGTGTGTGGTTATGAACAGGCTAGGATACTAACCTCTGGTCCGAATCCCAGATGGTCTACAGTTGCATGAAGTAAACTAGTTGGAAGAAAAGCAACCTTGTCCCACATCTATTTTAAAGTTCAGAGGATTTTGTTTTCTACAAAAACTCCTAAAACCGGGAAATTTTTCTATTTGTCTCTCGCTCATGGACTAGAAATGGACGTTCTAAAACCACAAGAAGTCTGAGTCTGGGATACAATTTTATTGAAAGTGGTTTAAGGTGATCTCTTTAGAAGTACACTTTTTTATTTTTTGTAGGAATTACAGCCCAGCTGCCATGTGTGAGACACTATATTAAATTTGGAGATCTGAAGATATCTTTTCAAAACAAAGCTAACAGACAGGAGAAGCCAAAGGCTGGATAAAAATGAGGAACCATCTTCAGGCACAGTCTATAAAGGCTTCCAGAAAGACCTGCACTTATGGATTCTTCATTGGAAAAGCCAGTGAGTGCCAAACTTTACAGTTTCCAAATATTATCTGAAATGACACACTAATGCTGGTTAGCTCACCTTTTGCAGTTCCTACCAAGGCAGAGAGGTGGACATAGATGTCATTTTCAACAACCCTTATTTTAAAGAGAATAATGTCATGTTCAACCCCTGACAGGAAGCCTGAATAAATTTACCTCTTATATCCTTGGCCTGATAGGTTTCTTGCTTTCATTTTTTTTTTCAGATCGTTCAATTGAGTGTGCCTTTTATAATACCCAAATGTAGAGTTTCATTTTTTTATATATTCTAGAAGCTTCTGTGTTCTACAGAATGGCAGCTATGACTGGTTTATTGAATGTGAATCGCTAGGAAATATTTAACTTTTGGCTAGAGTATCATCCAAATACACTTTATGTACTCTGAGCTATCCGCATTCTTGTGAGTTTAACAAATGCAGAAATTTCTAGAGGGAAGAAAGTAGCTTTCTTATCAGTATGAAATACAAAAGAAAAATACCAATTTTTTTCAAGGGGCAGCTCTTGCCTGACAGTTCAGCACAGTGCAGGGGGTGGGGGCTGAGCATGCCCTGCCAAGTTTCATTTTCTTCTTTTGCAGGGAGAAATGAGGCCTGGTGGCAGCACTGCTGGTTGGCTGTCAAGCATCACCCTATGGAAGTCAGAGAGATTTATGAGCTTCCAGAGCCCAGTGTGTCATGAGCTAGACTCAGAGGAGGAGCAAAATTGAGGCTATCTTGCTGTATTCATAGATTTCTTCTTGTCAAGAGATCAGGAGACTGGGAAATTAAAAAGTTACCTGCAAAGTTGGTAAGGCAGTTGTACACATATGCAAACTATTTGAGAGAATAGGGAACAGAGTGGTACAGAAGTTGTGGTAAAGTCACTGCATATTAAAACCATTGGGTAAACCACTCAAGTGTCTCTTGAGAGAATTTAAATGGATTCTTCTATACATTCACTGCATGGAGCTAAGACTTGTTAGCACTGCCAATTACTAAAATAGACCATTGTATCTGTCTAAGTTTCAAGAGCATACAGCAGAAATAAACCTCCCACTGAAAAAACAATGTATATTTTCAAATATTTCTAAAAATGTTTTCTAAGGTTATTGACTTTGACTAGAAGACTCTAGGATTTTGTGAAAATGCTAGTTCTCTTGATTGTCCAGGCTCTACAGAATCTACAGACTGAAGATATGACTCAACTTCTGAGGTCTGAGATTTGCAGCCTATTCCAAGATGAGCACTCAGGATGACCTTCCTTGGATGTCAAATACACTCAGAATGTTTCTTGTTTGTGAGTATTAGAAAAGGGAAACCATTCTAGGGCCTTGGGAAGGTAAGACTAGCCTAATGAACATTTTCTTTTCTGAAGTAAAGAATTCTTTCTTCAAAACTCAGTATTATGTTAAGAAATGCCTCATTCCAGGTCAGTAGAGGGTTATCTACCCAAGCACCCAGATGTTGAACAAGGGTAATCTGCCCCATAGAATAACATCACATAGCTCTTCAGGAGAACTTCAAGAAAAATCTTGGTAAATTGAACAAGCACTCTTGTTTGAAGGAACAATTTCACAAATGGACCAGACTTTCTAATGAACAACTTGAACAAGCTCTCTCTTTGACACCAGATTTCCTTCCCGACATAAAACTGTAAAAAAATAATCTGAATTATTACTTCTGTTACAGTGCCATTTTGCTCAAAATATTTCATTCAGGGATTCATATATAATTACTCACCTAATAAAAGGAGCTATTAGGTTGTAAAGATCCTATCCCTTCCATGCTCTTTTAAAATTATGACCTACTCAAGCTTGAAATCAAAGGCAGAGCTGAAAGGAATAATTCAGCTGAAACTCTCTTCCTGGGTTTTCAAGTCACCTAACTGATAAATAAGCAAACTAGCTCTCTTTTGGCGATTCAGCTGCATAAATAGGATTAACTTCAAATGCAGCTGAAAATTGAAAAACTAAAAGGGTGCACTCAAAATGTTCTTAATTTCACCTAATTCCAAGCTGTAGATAAACATGGCAATAAAAGTTTAAAATTCTAGCTCACAATGAAGGTACAGCTTTGAAAAGCAGCCATTGGAGTTATGATGCATCAGTAGTGTCAAGTGGCTTCTTCCCTCAGTTCCTCTGTGTCTCTGGGCAGGTGTAGGGAGAGTTATGGGGGGGTGGGGGGAGCAGTAGGTCCTTTTAACAACAGGGCCTGGTGGTTGCCACTTACCAATACTGCTCACTCTAAGTCAGTGAGGGCCCTGCTGGTGGAAGTGATATTACTCAAGAGAAGGTACTGTTTGAAACTGCCTTCCACTTTCCTTGCCTTCCTTGGGGCCTGTTCTCAGGAAGTCTGCCATTTCTGCAGAGGGTTACAGGGACATCAGGAAGCCATGCGATTGTGGAGGTGGCCACCTCACCCGAGGCCAGCTGCCAAGGAGAACTCGGGGAGGTATGGGGTGGAGCGGGGAGCTCTTCAAGCCAGACTCTTGAGGAAGATGGCCTTGGTCAAGCTTTGAAATGTCATCACAGTGTGGTATGGCACAAAAGCCACCCAAATTGAAAATTACAAGCTTAAGCACATAATTACCATGTGTCTGAAGAGAGTGTATATTGTATCCTCTTTTGGGAAATGGATGGCTACTGGCAGGGTGCCACGAGTTGCAGGGTTTTATGTTTCTGTTCTCCAGACATACATGTGAAGAGAGTGGATTTACAAACACTTAACTTGCTAAACTGGGTGAATTTTACAGCCACTTGCTAATATCCATCGCTTGCTAAGTTGAATGACTGAGTTACAAAACATAAGTGTTTGCTGCCTTTTGTTTGTTTACTTATTTACTTTTTGTGCTGTCAGGAAAACATCCACTCCTTTGGTGCTATGTCGTGAAAGAATTCCCATGGGTGCTTTGTACTTAAAAGTTGAAAAGAAAACAGTGAGCTCGCACTGAGTTGCCATAGCGTGGTACAGGCTTAAATAATGCACTTGCATTTTATAAGACTAGACCTACACATAAGAAAATGACAGGCATCAATGAAGGAAAACATATGCATTCATTATGACAGAGTGATCACTGCAGTGGTCAAGACCCAGGGCTACGCTAGCAGCTTCAGCCTTGACATTGCAGTGGAGGTGTATCTTTGTTTTTGTTTTGGGACCTCATAGTCATCATTCTTAAATTCCTGATGCCTATGAAAGAAGGGATGCCGATTCCTTCTGAACTGCTTCAGGACCTTCCGGGACTGAGCGGTCCTGAGGGTTGGCCTGGACACTGGTGAGAGTACTTGGACACAGGTGTGCTGTTTATGGGTAATTGGTATGCTGCAAAGTTCCTGGAAAATTCACCTCATTGATTCAGCAATACATGTTAAAAGGCCGAGCCTGTGATGGCATTAAGTTGCTTCATTAGCCCTTCCAAACTTGCCATTTGTTCACTCAAATCGTCCTGTTCATACACCTACAGAGAGAACGAGAGCAAAGCATTAGTACAGGTGAATGCTGACATGTTCCTTTTAGAAAGATGGCCCCATCTAGCTGGTTGACTCTGCATTCTCAAGCAGGACACAGTGGCCTATAGCCAGGGGCTGGGCTCAGAAAATAATCACTGAATGAAGATGCTGGTAATCAAAGAGGTGGCGATGAATGATTGCATACTGTTTCACCAACTTCATCCCTGCAATGAGGAAAAAGCTTTAGTAAAAAAAAAAAAAAAATCTTGTTTCAAATCAAGTTCCCCCAATCACTAGCTGTGTGATCTTTGACAAGTTAGTGCACCTCTCTGATATACAGTTCTTAGCTATAAAATGATGCTTTATTTCATTGGCTATTCTGAGCATCCTGTGGCATGTTTAGTCCCTATCAGTGTCCAGCACATGGTACCTATTCAATGTGTTAGCTCCTTTTCCTTTCCACAGGTCACTCATGAGCATGAGAACAAATTTTACAGCACCAGGTGTCTTTTCTCTGTAACACAATCTAGGCACACTTTTATGAGGGAACTTGATGGGTTTTGCCTAGACCGATGAAAAGTCTGAGGATTAAGACTTAAGCTTATGTGTAGCAACCAAAGTCTCACCCCAAACTAGGGTTGGCTCTATGCATAGCTGTAAAGGTAACCTTATGGCAAAATTTGATTGGTGGATGAAATGGAGAGGCTGAGCTGCAGTAATGTTTTATTTATTTATTTATTTATTTATTTATTTATTTATTTATTTATTTATTTATTTATTTATTTATTTTTAGCTGAGCCCTCCTGCCACCTGTTGGCAGCTCAGCGGCAGCTCAGCTTGGGTCAGGACTTGAACCGCTGTTGCTCAGAGCTTGCACTCTTGAGCAACTGAGCCACTCAGCGGCCTCTGCAGTAATCTTATTGAATATAACCTCCATAGCACTCACTATGAGCCACTAGATCCATGTCATAAGTAACATTGGGTTATTAGCTATCGCAGAGGCCCTCGTCCCTAGCCTCAGAGAATTCTAATTCACTAGGTCAATGAAGGCTTAGAATCTCAATCTCGCTCTCTCTCTCTGCTTCCCAGGTAATGTTGATGGTCAACTAGTGGGAGAAACAAGGCTATGGTGTTGACTTGAATCCTAGCTCTTTTATAGACTTGGCTTTTTTGAGTCTGTCTCCCTATTTGTCATGGGAATAGTAAGTACGCCTCATTGGGCGCCTGGGAAGATTCGACAAGTCAGTGCTGGTGAGCGGTAACTGCTCAATAAATGTTAATTTCTTTTTTTCCTTTCTCAACATAGCCTTTGTTTTAACTAACACAGACCTGCCATACTTGATTATTCTAGGTTAGCTCATTCATTTGATTAAGTTATTGAACCAAGTTGAGGCCTGAGTCCTGATTTCTAGCTCTGCATAGGCCAGGAAGCATTGCTCAGTACCATGGTTGGAATGTATACCAAATCCTGCCACATAAATACCTTGATCTCATGAGACCACTGGGGCAGATTTTATGGGGGGATACACACAAAGCCATTCCAGTCACTAACGAAACAACTCAAATGCATGGTATCAAATAGGTGGACATGTACTATGTAATCTTCAGACCTTAATGGCAATTGAAAAGTAGGTAGACAATTTGGCTCAAAAGACTGATCTATATAAGACAAGGGAGGTTGATGTGAGGCAATTAGTTTGTAACTTCTTACCCAAGTGCTGCCTTAGTTGTCTGGGTTGTTTTTCTTGAATTATCTACATCTCATTGCCCAATATAGCAACTGTTAGCCACATGTAGCTATTGGCTTTTTGAAATGTGGATAGTCTGAATTGAGATGTCATACACACACACACACACACACACACACACACACACACACACACACACACACATGGTGCCCGAAAAATGTATACACATTTTAAGAAAGGAAAAAATTGTATTAATATATACTGATTACAAAAGATGAATACAAGTCACGTTTGACTTCTGCAGTTACAAGAGGTGCTCAAAGTGGTTCCCATCAGTGTCCAGACACTTCTGATGACGCTGAACCACTGCTTGAGCAACGCTGACCCAAGTGTTAACATCTCTTAAAATGTGTACATATTTTTTGACACCCCCAGTACATATATAATATACACACCATATTCTGAACACTTTAGTACAAAAAATGTAAAATATCTTATTGACAATTTTTCTGTTTATTGCATGTTAAAATGATTGGAAATATTGGGTTAAATAAAAGATATCATTAAAATTAATCTCACCTATTCATTTTTACATCATTTAGTGTGATTCCTAGAAAATTTAAAATTACACACATAGTTCACATTCTATTTCTATAGAATAGTGCTGATATAGATTATTTTCCCCATTTTTGTATTTCCTTTAATGTATAATCTTACTGCTCTTCATATTATAATTTTCAGGTGTCATATCTTAGAATCAACCTTAAATGTAAAAATGGGCCACCTGACATGATTCCTTATAAGATGAGATATATAAATTTAGGAGTTTGATCAGATTTGAGACACGGCCAACAACCTGGAGACTAAACAAATATTGCAGTAAACAGCTATATCCTGACAGAGTAGTGTACTAGATTCTTATAAATTTTAATCTTTTTAAGTATACAAAAGTATGTTGATTATATAACATACTCTGTCAAACATTCACAGACATACATGTACTCAGATTCCTTGGTTTCCAAGTAGTTAAAATATTTCATTGCTTGTGGTACTAAAAACAATAAAATTGAGAAAAATTATTGTTTATTAAAATGAGGCAATTCTAATCTGTTTTTCCCCTTCCAGCCTTCTTATTTTTCAAGGTTTCTGATATGTTAGTTCCCTAGTTTTCTTCTAAATGTTTTCTCTTGAATTATATTGAGAAACATGCTAAAGTTTTCTAAATTGCTGCCTTTAGGCAACATCTTTAAAATTTCTTCCACAGTACATTTTTGGAAGAAATATTTGTTCTCTCAAAATTTTGATTTATTTTGTCTTCATTTTCTTCCTGAGTTTTCTAATTTTATCAATTTTTAGCATCTTCCCTTAGTAAACTTTTTCTCTCATTAAATAAACTTTCCCCTTTTATTTTCTAAATATGTCAGTTCTTCGTCTTTTTTTCTTAAATTCCCTCATTTTTCATTTTGTATTTTCTTCTCAATTCCATGTCTGTGCTATTTATGATTTTAAAAGTGACATGTAACTTCAGGAAACTCCTCAGAGTATAGCTTTTTGTTGATGCTTTTTACTTTAAAGAATAGTTATATAGTTATATTTCTAGGTATGCCAAGGTATTTCATCCCACAGAAAGGAAACACACACACCTACACATAGTAAGTCCTCACCTAATGTCATCAATAGGTTCTGCAACTTAATACACACACACACACACACACACACACAACATGTATCTGTAAGTAACACATTCTATAGCTATCTGCTTATGTATTTCTAAGATTGCCTTGATGTACCAATAATTTTTAAGTTTAACTAAATCCCTCATATAATTTTTTCTCTGAAGTTTTTTCTCTCTCTATTCAAGTGTAGGAAAACAGAGCAAAACAAACAACACTAAGAGCAATGATGGCTTGCGGTTAATGGAGAGTGCTGGTTGGTGTAGACTGAACTGCACAGCACTAGTCATCGCTTCATTGGCATAGTGTGAATTTCAAAGAGGGCCTTACATTGGCTGGATCCTCCGCTGCTTTGTGACTCTCCTCAGACACTTCAGGGGCTGTTGGCACAGACACAGGAAGCAAAGGAGATCTTGCCTTTCCAGCCAACCCAAGAGAGGCTGTTTTAACATGGGTCTTAGGAAGAGTTGGCCCTGAAATAGAAAACACAGAATAATGAAAGTAACGTATGAAACAGTCTGGGGATCAATCACTGAAGCGTGTGAGCCAAATCCAGTGGGTTGGCATTGATTTTAGGTTATTGTTCATTCTGTAGTTTGGAGATGAATTCTGACACAATGAATAGGCTCATTTTATTTCTACTAAATGGAAGACAAATTCTGATTAGGCCTCTCCAGATGAAGCTCCACCAGTCATATGTAATTTCAAGTGGGTTTCAAATCATGCTGCGAAAGGTTATCTAGGAGCTCATGGCCGACCTGACAGAAAGTCATTACGAATTCTCTTATGGAAAAAAAAAACCCACAAAAAAGACATTATTCTGTCCTGATCAGTATAATTTCTCTCAATAGAATACATTCTAATATGCATGCAAATCATGTGAGGAACCGCTGGGTTTCTACTAGATGACATTTCTGTCTGCTATAAACAATGGCTACCTTTTCTTTGTGAGTCTGAAATTTGCCTTATAAATCCTGCTTAGCTTGTAGCAGTAATATAACTTTGTCCCTTTAGCCTACAATAAAAATTTTATAAAGGCTTATCGAATGTACCTGAGGACTTTAGTCATTGTTAGCATTGTAACCAAGACCTCAGCATAGAAGGTATTAAATTAAACCATAGACAGAAGTTTGCCTCAGTTTTCTTCTATTATCAGTGATGATATTGAAGTTCTAATAATCCCAATGGCATACTGTAGATTTTGGGGGAAAAAAGTTGTTTTTACCATACTTTGGAAAACATCATTCTAGTTAATAAAACTCAAAAATTATTCTACAGTCAGAGAACTAAGGGGCATTTGCTTATGGGAAAGAAATAATACAAACAACCTAGTAGGCCAGCAATTTACTAATACGCTAGGCAAAATAAATCATAAATCCTAACAAAGGCACCTTTTCTCATACCATGGCCTAGCATGTAATTCATACTTCTATCCTTTCACTCTTTTCTTAACCTACAAGGATCAAAAGTCCACAGTTGGAATGATTTATTACTACAAGTTGTTCTGTACACCCTCAAAGTCCCATACAGACAGTACAATTTGAGTTAACATTAGTAATTTAATGAGATGAATAGGTTGTCGGGCTACAACACAATAGCCATGGAAATTTGGTATTGACTGCTATGTTACAAGTCATTTTGGATTTGGCATATGTGCTCAGTTTTCACCACCAATTTTCTCTGGTTAAACAATAGGCAAACCTTTATTTTTCCAAAGACTATAATGCCAGCTGGTCTTCATTGGATATGAACAAAACATTTGTATATTAAGCTACCTCTACCCTTTTATTTTTGGCTTCTGACGATAAACACAGTGTTCCTGGAGCCAACTTAGTTGTAAACCCAAATACAAAGTCAGGCACTAAAAAACCTTGGCAGAACCATGCTATACAATGGTCCTCCAGATGCTCTCACATGTGTAATTTACATTAATATTGTAGATGATTAGTTAAGTGAAAGCACAAAACTTAAAGAGGAATTTTCATAGAGCACTGCGGAAGCCTGAGAATGTACCTACTGAGTTCCTACTTTGAGGTGCATTTTCTGCATTATGTTTATCTTCCCTTCTAGAATGTTCACAATGTTCTCCTTAAACCTGAGGTTAGCTTAATTGCCACAGAAAGCTGCTCCTCCTAGCACATGCCATGAGCCATCTCTTCCTTCCCCATGTTTGATAAAGCCGTTGCATATAAACAACACATTTTGTATATTTTTTACTTTTATATATATTTTTTGCTATGACTTTGACTTAGGTTTCCTTGATGATGAAATCTACTTATTTTATTTATTTTTAATTTGTTTAATAAACTAAACTATTTCTGAAAACAATTTAATTTAACCCTTAACCAACAGCATGCAATGTTTGTCTACCGTATGCTGCAAATCAAGTCACTTTAACATAGATCTCTACAAAGAAAGAGAGAGAAGAAAATGTAAATGGCATGGGCATAATTTATTATGTACAAAATTCTAACCGGCCTGTGCTTGTTTTATGTTAGGAAACATATAAGAATAAAGATTCTTTTAGAATTCATCAGACTGTTCTATATAATTCCCTAATATTTATTTGACTACTTTTTTTTTGCAGTTGTGCATGTAGAGAAATTACAGTTCTAGCTATAAAAATATATTCTGATAATATATTTTCTGCCCAGGATCCTAAACACTAGGGTAGATTCAGAGTGTATTATACAGTGTCTGAAACACTCATATTATTACAATAAGATGCAGGTTTGCTTAATGAGCACCGAAACTCAAACCCATCGGAACAAAGATCATTATAATAATTGATTGTCTCTAGTGTCCAGGCAACAGTTATACATTTAGAACCTACTGAGTGTTGAACAATATGCAAGCCACTGTGCATTTACAAAAGGAATTGAAGACATTGTCTTGGCTGAAATACTACACAAAGTGTTTAAACCTCAAGTGACTGCTTTTTCTCAAGTAATATTCACAGATTCAAAGAAAGTTAGAATGTTGGAATCTCTAGGGCTCTTGGAGTTCATCTGGCGACTTTCCCTTTATTTTGTTGACGGGAACACAGGTCCCTGGAGATCAAGAGATCAAGGTAGAATTAATTTTAATATAATTCCAGGACAGGAGAAGAATTTGAATCATCTCTTAGAGTTCATTATTAGCAAGGTTTTTCTAGTGTGCTGTATGGCCTTAAATATTTTTCTTTCCTTTCCCTGAAGAGTTATAGAAAAGACTACGAGGGAAATTTCCCAGGAGAGATTTATCGACAGCCAATAAGACAACTTTGGTCCAAAATTTCCCTTTAGTAAAGGGGAATTGATGTTGAAAACCAAGATTCTCATGCAAACCTCCTGTGTTGGAAAGCTGACACCCTGGGTCAGCCCTTTGGTGTGCACTAACCCCACACGTATACTGTGTTAGTATTTGGGTAGATTCAGCATTTTCTACTCTGAACCTCAGACGTTTAAAGCTTGGACACTGGTAAAGCCTGGGCCCATACAAGCTCACCAAGCTGTGCTTTTGCCTTCACTGAGGTACTCATAGTTCAACATGTGTTACTGCCTCCTGTCCTGATTTTCAAGTCTACATCCCTATTGATCTATGAGACACACCTTTAATCCTTTACCTCATGCCCAAGACCTTACCAAAGGCTAAATTCTGAACACATTTTTTACACCATTGAAACCAAACAAACATCTTTATACAAAATAACCAGTCTCATGGCATGGACTATCTTCAAGTGAAAAAGCAGTGTAATCACCCGGAATTTGGATTAGTGATGGCTGGGAGCTTGGTCCAATCTGAAGAGAGCACTGGCAACAATTGTGCTGCCTCCCCACTGCTGATGAATTGCTACTGTTGGGAGACCATTTAACCTGAGCCCATTCCTCCTTATTGAACCTTCCTGGATTTCAGTGGCACATGGGGCTTTGCTATACTTCCTCCATCACTATCTGGCCTTTTCTACACGGCCTGCAGAAGGGAGTTTAAAACCCATTTTGTTCTTGGCGTCCTGCCCCCCCCCCTTCTTCATATACTTCTTCTCCATGATGGGCTGATTTAAGTCATGGTAGCCTTTGCCGAGTCCAGTCGTGTTTTGACACACTGGAATAGAGCCATGATCCTACTCTTCCAAAGAACAAATGGAAACAGTAGCCATTAGAAAAACAACATTTTCTTTAAGGTAGTAAACTCCTGTTATTCAATGTCAAGAAGGGATCGAATTTTTGACAGCTTATCCTATTTTTGTAGATCTAGAGAGCAGCATACAGAAAAGACTTCATGTTGACTGCTTTGCTTTGGAGAATGACATGTTGATAATTGGCCTAAACATGAATAATTTCAATAAAACATCTACTAATTATATCAGAGCAATATATCAAAGCAAAAGAAAAGGACAGACAAAAATTAGAATCTTTTCCATGGCCCCCAGCTATTAATTTAGTATAACCTTAGCTTGGCAGTCAAGATCCTGTGTGATCACTCCCAAATATGAAGACTGACTTTCAGAATATGATCAAGAAAACCCATGTCATGTTCAGAGAACAAGGAAAGCAAATGAGAGATGAGGGGTCCCTAACCCTGAAGACCAAGCTGATCTTCAGGACAAAATGTTTATGATTTCCTGTATTATTTACTTCTCCCCCCCGCACCCTCACTAGTAAAATGTGTGTGATCTACACAGTGGATTCCAAGGACAGAATGAATGCTCAAGTAAATATCCAAATATTGAGGCAGAGTCCTAGCCTGGGACTTAGGGGCCCCAGTCTTATTTAGTTTTATGATAGCCCAATTTCTTTGGGTCTTGATTTCTTTACATCTAGAAAGGTTAAACAATTTATTCTTTAAGCTATTAGCTATAAAAAGTATACAAGGAAGGGGAATATAGCTATTTATCTATACTGAACTTTACATTTGGATTTCTTTGCTCTCCTTAAGATTCAGGAAGCGGGCCGGCCAAGTGGCACATTGGTTAAGACTTGGCTTGGGAGCGTGAGCTCTGAGCAACAGGGCCTCCGGTGCGGATTCCACATGGGCCAGTGATGCTGCACCCTCTACAGCTAAGATGGTGAACAACAGCTTGCCTGGAGCTGGGCTGTTGTGAGTCACCGGTGACCGTGTAGGCTGCAGCCCCTGCTGCAGTGGGCTACCATAAGCTACCATAAGTGGCTGTCAGCCAGTGTGAGCTGCCAAGTGTCACAATGAGCGGTTGTCCAATGGCCGGCAACTGATCTTCCTCACCCGGGAAGAGCTCAATGATAATACCAACATGGACCAGTGAAGCGACATCCTCCACAACTAGACTGAAGAACAAAAAGACAGCAACTTGTCTGTTCCCCTTCCCTAATTCCCCAACACTGTTCCCCACTCCCAATTCCCCAATAAAAATCTAAAAAAAAACAAAAAAACCCCCAAAAATGGGTCTTGAAAGAGGTCCTGAGGGATATATTGAAAAAAAAGATCCAGGGAACATTGGTTAATCATTGGTAAAAAT